GTTTAGTTTTCTGTCTTTTTGTTTAAAATTTAGTTTTTCCATTCTTTACAGTTTGGTTTATTTTTCTTTCCTTGCTGCTGATCTTCTGTTCTCAGTTTTGATGTTGTCATTTCAAACCAGTGTTTTGGTAAAAGTAGTTCTTGTGACACCTGTGCCTCCACATCAAACAGCCGGTGGCAGCCATAAAAGCTTCTTATCAGCCGCTTTAATCATCCACAACAACTAGAAACACCTGAAGGAGGAAGATGACAAAGTTCACGAGGAAAGGTTTGATACACTGTGATAATCAAACAAATGGGGCGGCTGTGGTGTAGTGGTAGAGCAGCCGGCTTGGGACCCGAAAGTCTTAGGTTCGACTCCCCGCCATACCCACATGTCGTGGTGTCCTTGAGCAAGACATCTAACCCTAACTGCTCCCCGGGCGCCTCACATGGCTGCCCGCTGCTCCACTTGGGTGTGGATGGGTTAAATGCAGAGCACAAATTTCGTCATTGTGTGGAAACATACACTGATGACAAAGCACCTTTACCTTACCTTAAATAAACATGACGTTTACTCAGAACCCAAACGGACTCTGTGTATCTTTTAAAAGGAACTCAAATATTATTTCAGGCTGTTGAGTAAACAAATCAAGTTTGCTGCTCCTCTGTGCCACGTGTGTTGAAAAGTGGTGTAAAYGTGTTAATGACACAACTTTCTGTGGGGCTTCAGTGGGTTCTGATTGAAACTATCAGAAAACAAAAGGTTAATTTCTGTGCTTTTACGTCTGTGTGCTCTCTGCAGCTGTTTGAAATACATGAAAGGCAAAACCGATAAACAGTTACAGACATCTGATTATTATGAAGTCAATTTAAAAAAACATTAAAGAATAAAAGGAAATGTCAGGTGAAAAAAACAAAGAATAATAAAATAGTGGTTAATGATGGATGATTAAGTACATTAAGAGAGATTATTCTGTAAATAAAATATATCAATGATGGACCAAAAGGAAGTCTTTAATAGTATTTCCCTGGGCAGTAAGGGAAGCTTGAAGTTTTCCTTAGTTCTTAATCCATCTGGTGTCAGTTTATAAAATTTAATCTTTCAGTGACCTTTAACACTTAATTTTCCTGGACCAAATCTGAATACTCTGCTTTGTACCAACACTAAGCTTCACCCTAAAGGTTCTAGGTGACCATAAACGCACAACCTGAACCATTTTGGGGGTCTAAATGTCTAATCTGGAATAAATCACCCCCTCTGGTTGTTACTAAATAAAAGGGGTCTGCAGAAAAGGTTAAAMTGCAGCTTAAACTGCTTCCTGTTCCAGTAGCCCAGAGTGATTTTTACGCACTGTTAATATTAYCTTCAAAGCTGCGCTGCATCAGAAGAAAACAGCAGGTATATAGAGAATAAAACCTCAAATTTATAGCAAAATTTAATTTTGTCTAGATTTCCTTTTATCTGTAAAAATGTGCAGAAAGTGTACACAAACAAACAAACAAACAAACAAAACAAACAAGCAACAAACAAACAAACAAACTGGTCCTCGCTGCTGATCAGCTGAATCCTATGCTTGACCAAAAACGAAAAAACCTTCCTGGTAGGGGTGCACTGATTGCAGTTTTCTGGCCGATCATCGGCCTTTAAAAAGTCTGACCTGCCGATTCCACCCAATAAWAACTGACACTGTCAGGTGTTATAAGGTCACAATTTGTGGTGGTGGATAAGACAATCTTTCCCACCGATCTTATCTAAGTATCGGTCGATCTCTGATCTCCCAAAATTAAGAAAATCRGCACCGATAAATTGGTGCACCCCTACTTCCTGGAGTATTTATAATAACTCAGTCAAGACTCAACCACACACAAAAAAAAGGCAAAGCATGCACAGCATTTTCAGCTCGTTTGTTAAAAATCAGCTGTTTTTCTAGGATATTCAGCCTTTGATTTGTTTCCTTCATCTACCTATTTTTGCATTAAAGAAACAAGAAGTAAAATGAGGAAACACGTAAACCTGGGTTGATTTTGATCCTTGCATCAAGGAATCGTTGCTTCTTAACTCCTGTCATTTCTTAACACACACCCCACCCCGAGTCAACCTGCTTTTACCGGTCCAACATCTTGGTGGTGGCTCTCTCCAGCTTCTCCAGGATCTGCAGCAGCTGAGCGTCGTCGTCACACAGGCCCCCCCAGCCCAAAACCCGAGCCAGGTCGTTACCGGTGCCAAGAGGCAGCACGCCGAGCTGACACTGTGGAGAAGAAAGGAAAAAAATACAGGGTGGGGGGGGATTAATCACTGCTGGTTTCTACAGCAGATTATTTACCTCAWTCTCACCGTAGCCCAGCATCCTTCTCTGTCACATCAGTTCTCCTTCTCTACATCCACAAACCTCCTCTGTGGCCTTCATCTTGTACTTCTCCCTGGCAGCTCCACCATCCTTCTCTTCTTTCCTTTGGATGGCTGACCTCAGGTCTTTAAGCTCTCCCTCTCAGTACATCTATTCTGTCTTTCTTCCCCCGAATTTTATCCCATTTCTCACCAGAGCATACATCTCCAGACTCTCTTCCACCTGCTCATGACTCTCGTTTATCTTCATAAAGTTAAAAAAAACTTCAGATGATCTCAGAATTTTCCRCCACACAAGCAGCAGTCTGCAGTTTAGTTTAACATGACCTCAAATTAACCTGGATTAAATTCATCTGACACAGTACTCAGTAAATCAGTTGCAAATGGCTTCATAATTAAAGCCATGTTCATGTAAAGTAGCATTCGTTTATGCTGATTAATTCCATGACTTTGGTTAATAACTTCAGTCAGGCGACGCCATTTCTGCCTCGCACCATTCCTTCCTTTCTGATCACATTTGGAGGTGAACATTAACAGACATTTGCAGATTTTCACTTCAGATTTCACACAATAAACCAAAAGTGCACCCATCTGTGATGTGGTAACAGCTGTGATATTAGTACAGCAGGACGGAGCGATTCCTTGTCGGCTGTCTTTACAGCTACCCTACACGTCAATATGTTCCTTCAACCTTCCTCCTCCTCCTCCTCCTCCTTCGTTCTGCTGCTCTCACCTGTTTATGGAGTTTGAGTTTATCGAGCTCTGAGAGCACCCAGCCCACGCTGCCGTCTCCCCCACACACCAGAATACGAAACGTCACAAACTTCTGGAAGAGTCGGAGGCTGCGGGCGGAGAGAGTGGGGTGRCGTGAGCGGAGGAGAGGAAAAACAGAGGAAAGAAAAAAGGACTGAAAGTAGGGTAGGCAGTGGAGTACCCGAGCTCGGGTCCTCCGTTCATCAAGTCAAAGACTTGAGCCGGGTTCAGAAGCTGCTTGAACTTGCGCAGGAACTTCACCCCCTGGTTGTCCCCACTTTTCGAGTTGACAAGGACCAGAAGAGGGCTGGAGCACGACGCAGAGGTGGCCTTCCAGAAGCCTGAAAATAAATCACGAGTCTTTGTCATAAGAAAGCATCTCCATCATTGCTTGAACCTTCAGATTCCAGTTTAAACGTCTCGGTGTTGGAAATAGGGCTGGATATCAAAGAGGATAGGACAGTTTCATACAWTTTTCAAAAGTGATACACGATACAAAACGACTCTCCATTCAGTGCAGTTTGATTTGATTTCAATAGATATACTTACTGCTCAATGCCACAGACTCAAGAAAAACAAAATATTATAAAATTACATTACCTATAATACAAAAATCTAAATGTGTCCAAACATCTGCCTTTAAGGACTTCCAGAATGGACCAGTTCATTGTTAGGATTGTCATTGTCACGCCATTGTAATTACAGAAATTCAGCAGGTAAAATAACAATTATACAGATCCAATATATGCTCTAAACTGATTCGTGTTAAACTTTCCTTCAGGATCTTAGGTGAGATTTTTCATAAATATCCGAGCTATAAATCTGCTTTTTAAGCTTGTTCAATTTGCACAAATCCAACAGTGTTTTCATAGCCCCCCCCAGCGTTGTACCTGTTGACCTGTGACCTGAAAGAGGAGTGTTACAATGTTCAAAGAAAGAAAATAATCAAAACAATAGTTTTTTTTAAATATCAATATTGTTGGATTGGTTTTTATGCAGAGCCCTGGTTACAAAGTGAAATTGAATGGAGTCTGAATGTTAACTGAAGCCGTCTCAAAACTGCAAGAATCTGATTATCTGGCTTCCACGTTTTTCTTTTAAAGTGCAGTCATTTCACAGGCTGAACTTTTATTTTTTATTTTAGTGCCTTTTCTGATGTTTAAGTACAAACACTGTGATTTTTTTAAGTGCAATGTTTGAACTTTACTGCCCAGCAGGAAAAACCCACAACTGCACCTAAAACCTATTTGAGGCATTTTTCTGTGAGCGTCTATGGATTCAAAAAGCTTCGGTGTCTGAGAAAACAGGCGTCGTCGTGTTCATGACTGGCTAAACTGCAGCAGGAATACTTKTTTTTAAAAACCTAATTTAATACAAAAGTAGCCATGACGTGATCTCTGGCTTTCTTAAACTTTTCCAGCATTTACAAGAATAGAAGGATAAAAAAAATTAACCTGAAATAACCATTGGGGTCCTGAAAGAGCCTGGGGCCACTAACCCTGTTACCCCAGTTCTGACAGGAAACGTGACATTGTTCAGGTTTGAACCTGCCTGGACCATAGAGGGAGGTAAAGAGGACGTGYGGGTGGGTGTTGTCTCACCGTCTGAGTCGATGCTGTTAAGTGCCGTGGGAGGAATGATTGAGACGCGACATTGACCCAAAGGACACACCTTCCCCATTTGTTCTTTACAGCTGCTGTGGACCTGCAAATACACACACACACACACACACACACACAC